GGCCTTTGAATGAAACAGCGGTCGTAAAACCGAATGGTGCAACTAATATTGGAAATAATTTATTCTTATATCTACGTAATAGTTCTACTTTAGGACTGAGAATATAAATGTAAACAAATGAATATGGAATACAATGATCTGATAAAAATTTAAGATAATAATGCACTTGTATTATGGAAAGCAGAAATATTGAACGTATGCTACAACCACCCAGACTCGAGACACTATATAAAAGTTCTCTAACAACATCATTAGGAAGGTTAATCTATATATAACCCTTCAAACAATAAAATAATACCAATACAGGGCGAAGAAATGTGTATTTACAAATATTAATATCTCTTAGAGAATTCAATAATAAATTACTTAAACTTTCGAAAATTCACTCCATTGTTCTCACAAAGTTGAAGTGCATCAATCAAACATTTAACAGAGCTCATGATGAAATATTTGATTCTATTTAGAAGTGCCTGTTCAAGAAACTTTTAACTGCCACAAAACTCGAAGGAAGCATTGCCACAAAACAATTTAATGGCACACAACTCAAACTGGTCCGCCTATAAGAAGTGAGTAAGGAGTTACAGACATCAAAGACATTAAGGCCGGAGTCAAAGTTTATGACGGTATAAACTTTTGCCGTCAAATGGGGGAGACTATTCATGTTTTTCATAAAAGTATTAAAACGTCCGCGATACTATGAGGTGCAATCAAGTGTTAAGTGGAATAGCGCAGGATGATCAGTATGTAGTCTGTATCTGTATGAATTTTAATATCTGTATTTGTTTACATCCTTTGAAGTTAAGTCAAGCCAATATCTATCTATTTGTAAAACGATCATCTCATTTCAGAATTTCAAAATGCTTATGACTTTGATATAAGTAAAAATACAAATAATCCTGCAATAAAAATACCTCTGCGTACACGGAAATTGATATTTTATCGCATAATAATATAAAATTTTAGGTCAATAAATAATTAGGTGCATACATTTGCATCACATACCCTTATTTTTAACAATTAAAAAACGCAAAATTTAAAAAACACCATTATCCTGATCTTAGGCAATCATTATTACAAGTTCAGTTTACATTTAATTATTATTACAACATCATTCAAACCTTTTTTATCGAAGTTCTTTCAATTGAACTAAAGAGATTTTTAAATAAGCATCTTTTACATTGACACCATCACATAAACTTATTTTAGGTTTAATAGAGTTTATTTCTGTTCATGCTTAAGATTCAAATGTAAAATCTACCATCTGGTTTTGCTTCTTATGAACTCTAAAGTAAATATAACTTCGACCGTTTAGATTATCATAGAAATGTACAAACTGTTTATAATATTTGCTTTTAAACAAGCTTGTGCAAATAGAATTGGTACAAAGATTGCGTATATTAACATGCGCAGGATTCATCAGCTTAGTAACATCAGATCATATATTCGATGATATTGTACTTTAACATGCTCAAGTACTCATAAATTGTAAAATCTTAACGTATTATTAACAGTGACTGACTTCCTCAAACAGTGTGTTTTAAATATTACGAACTACCGAGTTTACGTTACAGAAAAATTGTGCTGCGCACAGATGAATATTGGACGAGGTACCTACCGCCTTACACGGGCACGATTCTACAAAAAAGATGCATTGAAAATCTATAGTAGATCGCGAAGATACAAGCCCGCTGGAAGGAACAATGCTACAACCCGGTATAATGTAGTGTGGAAGCCGTTGGGCGTGGTCTGTAGATGCAAATTGCACGAACCTTGCTTCGGGCACTAGACAAATAACTTCGTGAGCCGACCGCACCAGTAGCACACGACAGCCATCCCGCCCGGAGCCCGAGCGTGTTTATAATTCAAACAACTCCCGACAAAATGTGCATCGCCATATGAATAACTTGAAACATTGAAATTGATGAATAAGTAATGGCAGGGGTAATCAAAGTTAAAACTCTCAGCGAGTCGAGTCAAGGTATCACTACATCCTTGTAGATCGCGTTTATAATTCAAGCAGCCGCTGTATCGAAGCTCAAGAGATTTTATTAGGTACAATAAAACCGCAGCAGCCGAGTCTCGTGCCACTTTTATTCCCTTCCACCGATCCCGGTGGAAAACCTCTTATTTAGACGGGAATTCAGCCCGTATTTGTTTGTAAGTAAAACGATAATGTGTTGAAACACGAGAACTAGTTCAAAATCCGGTTTATCGGTGATACAAAATAAAACTTAAATGTTTTGTATTAAGCTTGAGATATGATTATTGTATACACAGTTGAATTAAGGTTTACCGTTAGAAGTGCGCCTTGTGCAAAAACTTAGAAAATACTTAAAAGTATTACCGTCACAGACGATTTCTCCTTAACAATGGGATCGGATAGTGAGTACTGTATAGTTGATAAAAAAGACTGTCAGATTCTTAATGGTATGTTAAAAACGGGATCTATTATCGCTGACGAAGTCACGTAGAATATTAGAGGCCCTTTACTTTTGATATTTGATCCGAAATAGGATCTCCGAGTTGAAGTGAACGAGTCGGAGCGATCGAAAAACAAACAAACTGATGGTAGTTAACGAAGTAAACCGGGATTAATTTTCTCAATGTTTGAGTTGAGCTATGAACGATGGACTCGCCCCGGGACGTGGTGAAGTCAACAAAAGCCCGCGATATGATTTCAAACTTGCAATATTACAAAAGCAAAATGTCTGGCACGCGGCTTCTACAGATGTTTTAAGCTCATTAAATTTCGACAACATCGTCAAGGCGGGGCTAATTAAAACAAACTAAAATAACCTTATCGATTATCATATGACGCAATTGTTGCCACTTTCAAAGAAAGGGGAAGTTTATCAAGCAAACTATCTCGAGTCGTGACCTCCACACAAGTCCACTGTCGACATATGATCCGATAAAGCAACTCGGAACGACCGTAAAACAAAATAGACTTTTCCGTAGCAGACGTAATTTCTGGCGTATATTGGCCATAAAAGAACTAGTATATGCCGGTGCAATGCATAAAGACGTGAGCGTGGAGAAATTTTCGATAAGAATAAGAAGTGCATCGAACATACGACGGATGAGTGAACAAAGAATGGACGCTTACAGAATAACAATGGATTCTTTAGCGCTCGGAGTGGTCAAAGCAATCAGAGTAGCGGTTAGACCCTACAAACCATTTCACTGCTGCTTAATTAGCAAACAGGGTAGGAGCGGTGAAGGAACAGCGTAAGTAATCAAGACTTTTAATTATCTCCAAATAATTCCGGACAGCAGAGTCAGGGAGGTTTAAAAAATGAGGCAATTTGTAAAGACGTATTTTCGCTTATCTGAAACGTTCAGTTTAAGAATCTCAATGAAGGCGATAAATTCGGCAGTGCCGTAAAAGAGGAGATTGCAATCGAAAACATGTGGACGCGTATGGCCTACAGTTGCGCTGGAGACGGTTATAAAAATTGGTTGTTTAAAGTAAAAATATGCAAAATACGATAAAAATAAACGTTTATTTACTTTAGAGCTTTCATTACTTTAATTCCGCCTTATCGTACTTAAATATTTTTTTATTACATATATTTATGTAACATATGTAATTTTACTTTTTCTTCAAACCAATTTATATCGTGTATTCTTTGACATAAGTCCCGTCAACTATCATATTTTTCATTGAAACTGCTTTTTACACATATCTTTAGTGAACGCATTATGCATTATTTATTGCTTTGAGATAAAATCGTGTCGATCGTCGCGGTTTACTAAGTTAACGTTCTGGAGAGGCGTCATACTAGCGACAGATGACGACTAAACTCCGAGGCGCCTGAGTAATGGACCCGAGACCATTACTCATTATGCTCCGTGACTTGCCGCAAAGCTTTTATTTCAACGTCTACTACTGTTCTTGATGATTTATACCCGCCAACCTCGAATGCAGTGTTTTTATTATCGATCACACTTGTCCGTTTTCGCATCAGCGACACAAGATAAATCAATGTGGTCGATACAAATAGTTTGTGTTCGTTTTAACATCATACCATTTGCTGTCATTATTTTGTATAGGCCGTAATAAAATTTATTTATATTTGCTGGTGAACAGTGAGATAATAAGAAAATCTTACATGGGCTTTTTTCAAGTATGGGAACCCTCGAAATCAATGATATAATTGCTTGTGTTATAGTTAACGGTACGCCTCTCAAACATCTGTATAGGATCAGGGTTTCACGTTAAAAGAAATCCCCATTGATAATAACTCTCGTATTACTCGAAAAGTGAGAGAAATCACAGAGATCTCAGTTAAACGATAAGGTAATAACAGAAGCTGATCCTATCTTTTGTGCCCTTTTGTTGAATTCTGAACACAATGCAGTTGTAAATTTTTGGGTTCTTAACTCCACAATGTTCCCGTCATTAATCTATGAGAAGTCCGTTGTAACTTGAAGCGGGGTTGGGAGCTTTTGTACCTGCTGCGCTCCTCGGTTCTTTGTGGAACCCCTGACATGTGCGGAGCAACGACAAAAACTGCCTTGCGCAATATTGTCTGCCGAGACATCTCGGATGATGTGAAAATAATGCGGAAGAATATAAAACGCAATATCCCACACCGCGACGGCGTCTTGTGATTTTTTCCAATTTCGATACTATCTCGAGATTTTAATCTAAGTCCAAAACATCCCCTTGTTCAGTTAGACGATGGATTAGAAGTTTTATTGCCAATCAATACTATAGTTTCTTTAGTTAGCGCTATTTTTAAATATGTCACCCGCAACTTAACAGTCGCTTTTTCTAACACATCGTTTCCACTTAAGCTCTTGACATGCATTTACACTTAGAGATGTGACGCACTTTTTCTGTTCGATCTCCAGATGTGACTGCATCATTAAAATCTTCTATGCCTCCAAAAAGATCAAAAGTTATCTCCTCAGTTGGAGAGCTTTACGCCCCCCGCCCTTCCGCAGTTCCCCGCGGTTCCCTGTTCCCCTCAGTTTGGAACGGTCGAGCCAGTCATATCGCGACGTCGAACAGCTGCGGACGCTCGCTGCTGAAGCTTTACCGACGACCGTCGAATCGTAACCGCGAATCGTGAAAACAGTTATCGTTGTTGTCATTTGCATACGTGAAGTGAACTTGTTTTCAATTTCATACCCGTGAGATGTGACGTGGTTGGACTCGTGAAAATTTCGCTTCGATACCTGTGTCAGAATAATCAGTTTTTCAGTGGAGCTTTTAAGTTGTGGATTGTTTTGATATTGTAAGTGGCACTGTTTTTGTTGTGTTATTCATTTGTTAAAGAAGATGCGTTAAAGAACAAACACGTTTTATGGTATATCTAGCTGCTTCTGAAAAAAAGTTTTTATGCTGGAAAGCGGTTTAATCGTAAACTGACAAGTTTTGTTGCGTGCTATGAAACTGAACACCCGAATTAAAGTTTCCAAATTTATTCAAATCATGCATAGGAACGAAGTGTTTATAAACAGCCGTAAAATTTTACGTATCGTATTTTAATTTACAACCGACAATAACAAGTGGCGGTGCTGTGATGGGCTCCATAAAGATTTACGATTCAATTCTGCTTTCCGATGATGATATAGAATTTGGTCACGAAGTTATCACGGCATCTGTGTAGTAAGAACGCGGAGTGAGTTCGTTTACTTTTTTATGGCCGGTGTTGCAGTAGCCGCAATTGTGATGGGAGAACTCTTTAGATCTGATAAAAAGGCAGCCGCCTCCAGAAAATAGGCTAATGACAATCCCCATTACCATGCTTTGTGACGTGTTGGAGATAGTTCCGTAGATTAGGGAAGAGCACCTATTAGATGTTTTTTTTTTTTACTATTCTCCTTTATGTCGTAACAGTTTATCTTTTTGGGGCTCACTCCATTGTTGTTTGTGTATTAGTTAGGTAAAAGGCGTTTGTTAGAGCGACAAGATAATGAATTATGGGCCCTTTTAATGTACACAGGCCGCGATTCTCGCTCATTAAACGTGTTTCTTATTGTCTAATCCGAATGATCGATGATCAAGTGTGCGCTTAGTATTAGTTACATGAGTTCAGGTATATTTTTATAAGTACAGTTTTATCAAACAAATTACTAGCATGTTTAGTCAAAATCTCATAAACTTGATAAATCTAATTATAAGTTTAGTGGTAATTTAAAAAGTTGTTGAATTTAAAACCTTTCCATCATTATCAACTACAAGTTAAACATATTATGTGTATTATTTATAAAACTGTAATATGATGAAACGAAGAAAGTACCTACCTATTTGCTTTACACGATCTAATTAGATCTCAGGGATGCTGAATCTATCATGAGGCGATGTCGTTCAGCGAATGTTAACATGATGCACGCGTTAACGATAAATATCAAGTCACGATTTTGATATAACGATTTTGTTCCTCAATATATCGCCGCTTGGAATTCTCGTACAATTTGAATACATTACGGTGAACAAAACCTTAATGATAATATAGATTCATACCAGTAAATTATAAGAGTTTTTGATTTATGTAGCATATATTCGGGGAGATTATGGGCTTATAAAACATGGGGTTACCGGTTTGCGGGGTGTTTGCACTTACGCCTTGGATGATTTTATTAAAGATGATTGATTGTTCAAAGTAGATATAAAAATAATAATCTTATCAGACAGTAAAATTTCTAGACTTGTGTACAAGAGTCTAGACTGATGTACATAAGTCACAACTTTATACAACAGAAAGTTTATAGGGATACTAAGGTATGACGTATGATTTAGTCGAGTCTCTCCTATCCTAAGAATTGAAAGATTTAATTCAACTGTAAAGCACAAAATAAATCGTTTAAATTAACTATTGCAGTCGATATGGACAATTTATAATTTGCTGTCGTGAGTTTTTATTCCCAGAACGATTCAAATTATGTTGATAAAAGTAGGTATCTTTTGTTTTAAATTTACTTTGAATCATACTTACCGAATAAATTCTAAACAAACCTTTACACGATTAAAGGCATTCATAACTCAAATCATCCTATTATTTACTTTCATACTTATTTGCATATGCATGTAATTATTGTTCAGATGAGTTTATGGAACCCAATTCAACTTTGTTTCTAATTGGACTGGGCTAAAATTACAAAACTTGAAGATTCGAAGAGAGATCGTCGTCCACCCATCTGCTTACCAAGCGAAAAGTATATTAAATCAAGTATTTTTTATATAGAAAGCAATTTCGACTGTCAAAATTGTTTATGACTATTTTTATAAAAGATAAGTAAAATATACAAGCTCTTATCAATTGGCAATAAAAAATATTAAATATCATAAATTATATAATTCTGATAAGAAACATATGGTATTTTAATAAAAATTCAGTGTAAATATTGCTCCAGGTGCCTGAATTCGAGAAATGTCTTCCGTGCATCCGAATAAGGGCTAACGACCAAATGTAATTGAGCCATTAGACTAAATGTTCCAGCATTGCTACTGTATAAACAATAATCAGTAAAACGCGAGTTCGAGCGAGTACAAAAAGAGTTCTGTTAAATTGCCAAAAACACTTGTTTTTGCCAATCGCCGTGGCAAAGTTCGTGTGGAGACCCTTATTATTTTTTAACATTATGTTATTACTATTAAGGCTCTTCTGTTATAGCGGTATTTAAAATATACATTCTATGAACGTTTTAACCATCTACCTGTTAGGGATCAGTTACATTTACTCCGTTAACTGAACTAACCTCGGCCGTCATCGACCGATTGGATCGAAAGTTAAAATTTATGAATTCGGGCGGGCGTCGATTGTAGTAGTGCACGTACACTCTTTCATTTACACACCTACTACCTACTTTTGATATGATAGGCCGATTTGGCTAAGGATGCTCGAGTATAGTTCGGCCGATAACGGATTAGGTGCGTCCCAGTCCTAACATCCCACTGACGGACGGACGTAAACTGTATGAACACCGGAGACTAAGCAATAGGGTTGTTTATCCTCCTCCGTGTCCCCACCCGGATCCTACCGGATTCCTTAAAAATCTATAAAAATATCTAAGAGTACTTTTGGGTTGGTACTTGAACTTTTGGATTTGCAACTTCAAATCAATTACACCTAAACATATTATATCATATATCCTATTGAAACGAATTCATGGGCGGTAGTTTGAATGCTAAAGCATTCATTGCTTCTGTATAAACAGAATCTCGAGGAAATCTTGAGGTGCTCGATCAGCGTTGCCAGACGTCCCGATTTTGGCGGCACGTACAGATTTTTAAACACAAAATTTAATGTCCCGCCCCGCCAGGCTCAATATGCTTCTCGGGAATAACTCTACCGGGCGTGCAGAGTACTGAGAAAGCGCGGGCGGGTGGCACAGACAAGTGTGGACTGGCGGCCTGCCCGGCTCGTAATGATGATAAATAATCAATAACTTTTGATTATATAGGTTTTTTTTTACTATGTCCTGCTTTCGAAAGAATACTGCTTTTTTACTAAAAAAGTTCCTAAATCCGGACTAGCCAAAAAAAATCTGACAACGCTGCGCTCGATGGCGAAGTTGTTTAGCGCGTACCTGCGATATAAGTCGCAGAACGAAACTAGCGCTGACCGTTAATTGCGCATTAACGGTCAGCGCTAGAGTTTCGTCGAAGTAAAAATTAAGATGTGTTGGGGGGAAACGAGGTGCGCGGGTGGGCGTGCGTTGCGCCGATTGGCTCTCCAGTCGTACCCATGTGCAGCTATCCCCTCCACGTTTTGTTCAGTGCTAGAGTTACGGGCCGCGACCTGTTCCACGATCGTTAAACAACTTTCGCAATAGTCGGTCATTGGATGGGTGACCATAAACTTATCACGAGCACCTCCATACTTCCGAAGGCACGTAAAGTCTTTGATCCCGGCTGCATCTGCAATCTTTAACACACACCAATTCACACGGAGCCTTGAATCTCCTTATTACATCCTCAGAGAAAGCCCGTGCTCCAGCAGTAGGGATACTATAATTGATCACTTAAGATCAATTATCAGTGGGTAACATCTTATCTTAATTTAAATACGAATGCTTTATAAACATATGAATTTCTTAACCTAAACCGCAGATCAAAGTTTGTTCTGAAATATATACAACCAATGGCCTTACGTAATTAAATAAATAATTTGTCAATAAAATAAAAACTCTCTAACAGCAACATTACAAACTCCATGATTAGGAATTATGAGAAATCGGTAATCGAAATTAGTGTACTTGTGGCGTCACGGTCAATTATTTAGTTTTCATAGTTATCTATGTACTTACAAAAACATGTTCATCATAATGAATAACGAACACGATCGGCGGCAAGAAGTTACAAAACGTACATAAAAGTCACAATTAGCCGTGTGTACTCGTGAACGAACTAACAATATGGTAAAAAATTGTGGCGTATACTATTACACAATGGTGATTGGTAAATGAGATAAAACTGTGCTCATGACTGATATGACCTTATAAGCGATTTAGGGACCTTCATATAACGCTCTATCTCTATGTAGCTATAGACTTCATTTACACTCGAGAGCAGTGAATCCGGATCACATAAAGAATCCTTAAAACTTCGCAAACTAAGAATGAAAACGCAGTAATGGAAGCACGACGAGGCAATCATCATCATCAGCCTTATAATATCCCCACTGCTGGGGCACAGGCCTGGATGGAATAGGGAGTTTAGGCCATGACCCACCACGCGGGCCCAGTGCGGATTGGTGGGTGCTAACGACTGCAGATGCAGTCGGGACCAATGACTTAACGTGCCTTCTGAAGCACGGAGGAGCTCGAGATAGTGAATTTTTGGTCACCCATCCAATGACCGACCACTACGAAAGTTACTTAACTTCAACGATCGCAGCCGAACGCCCTAACCACTTGCGCCATCGAGCTCCTCGAGGAGGCAATACGCAATATAAAATTTAATAAAATCGTAATGTTGTCCAAGAAAGTCATGTTTCCTTTTTTTGTTTTACGGCGAGATCAGACAGTTTTTTTCTTTATGTATTTTTTTGTAAATAAAATGTTCTAACTCATAAATTTTATTACTTTCATATAAGGAGTATTTTATTGTCTATTAATTAGAATTTATTTCATTAAGCTGGCGTTCTTAATAATAATAATAATAACCCTAACTTGTGAAATTAAATAAATGAGAGAATAATAAATCATTTTTATTACAGGCACCGGTATGCATTAAAATACAGGTCCCAAAGATTATTAATAACAATGTCAATCATTATTCCATATTGTA